ATCGAAAAACAATCCTGCAGCCCTTATTTCCGCTGACTTTCCACCACAATTTTAAAGTTTAGGGGGACACTCGGAATGTTTGGAGCATATGGAATCATTAACTTTAACAGTGTTGCTCACCATTATACATATCCTTGGGATCTAATAAATTTATTGAATATACTCCCTTCCTCATTAACATATTAGCAAAGCCAAATGTTTTTACACATTTTAGGTACATCACAGTTTATACCTATGTTTGTTTGGCAGTCCTCATCCTCACCATCTTTGCCAGCGTACCATGTCACCTGCAATGCCCAGGCATACATAAAAAGAACAATAATGATGCATTCAGATCACGTCAAATGGATGTCAACTGCACATGTAAGCACTTCACAAAAAATGCCCTCGAAGCTCTGTAGTGAGCTGGTAATTGCTGCTGGACTGATATGACAGGCAGGGAGGAGAGAATGGTTGGATAAACACAGCAGCCATAGCCAGAATGATCTCAAGTCACTAATTTCTATGCTATGGGTTGTGAAGGCTCTACAGGCTGCAAATGTAACATCCAGACCACAGTGTTAGCAGGCCTCATCTCCACAGACAGGTGTGTAAGAGAGAGAAAATGGAGAAATAAACATACAACACTCATTCTTGACAGTGACAAATTCTTAAAAAAAAATAGAGCTGTTTATTTTGTAAGCCAAACACGTCTTCAAGTGGAGATAAATCAAGTGGTAATTAAAAAACATTCAGTAAGTGATAAGAAGCATGCCTGTCTATTTGCATTATAAACTGTGTATGCATGTGCAATAAAAGACAACTGTTTAGGAATAAAGTCTCAAATAAAATATCTAAACATGTGTAAAAAAAAAACATATTCAAAATATCAAGTCAGATGTGTAATGAAATCAGAACGTGTCACAGATGACACTGGGTGAGGCAGAAGTGCAGGCTGTGCTTGAGGCCTCATTGAGACATAACCATGACTATACAAGACAACAGCGCAGGACCAACTACAAAATGCAACACCGAAGAGAGATACTACAAAAACATTCACTCTTAGGGTAGCCTAGTGTCGCCAAAAATGACTTAATGGTCTTCACTGGACTCAAAGTGCATTGAAGTTTCATGAAATTACTGAAATTGAAAACCAGTTACCCATCCAAAGAATGAATATCCAAATTATTCAGCCCAGCCCTAAAAAAATAAAACTACATGTCAAAAATACTCCTGTGATTAGCTCAGCTGCTTTGGACAGAACAGCTCAAACATCTACAACGTTTTTTTGAAGACAATCCAATTTCAAACAAGGAGACCATTCCAGAGGAACAGCCCACTTTCTGCATCCCACTAGTTGATACCTGTATGTCCTTTTGATCAAAATAGATCCGTTTCTTATCAATTAAACCGTCTTACTGTTCACATCAACCCATGGCATTACTTCATGCAGTTGTTAAAATATGTCAAACTCTCAGCTGATATGAATTCCACATAGATACAGTCATATCAGAAAGGATTTTCAGCTTCAATATAAATTTACAGCAGTAAAATGTGCATAAAATGTAGGGGTGGGAATCCTTTCTGAAGCAGCCTATATACATTAATAAAGTCTGTTAAAGTTAAAACTTGGCCACAGCAAAGCTTTAGATTCTTTGTTTTTAAGTAAGAAGGAAAGAAGAAGGCAAACTATAAAAACTCAGGAATAGTTCCAGAACCAGGTACACTTTTCAAATTGCTCAAAAAATTGGGTTGCTTATTAAATTTTCCACAACCCTATAAAAAACTGTCTCGTGATAAATCTCAGGTCAGTGCACACTGAATGTGTGGTTGGAAGAGCACAGTTATCTTTGTCTGCCCTTAATATGAGGCGCTACCAATCCATCTCACTAAATTATTTCCTCCTGACTGAAACGGTACCATTTGATTAAGAAAGGGTTCTGTTGATCTCTCAATACCGCCTTCCTGCTCCGAGACACTTTAATCTGTGAAGTTATCTTGTTTACACTGAAGCATGAGAGGTAACCTGCTCCAAAGCACGCTGAAGATTACAGGCATGCTGCTAAGACAGTCCCGCATGACTTTTGAAGAACCAACAAATCCAGAATAATGTGAAATTATCAACAAAATTACCCAGCTAACTCGTTACAAAGAGCACCCCACAGGACTAAACCAGCCAAGGTAACAGCACAAAAATACACTCAGAAAACTAAGAATCACACTGTAAAAGTGATGTCAATGTTTGTGTATGCCTCAGTTTTAAGTGAATCAGTATATGAAATGTGTTATTTCCCTTAATATCAATAGTAAGCAACAATTAATATGCTATTAACAAGAGTGGCCTAGTACAATAGAAGACATTTTTCCCAAAAATATCATTTTTGTCAGTATTGCACACCCCTACCAGCCACCACAGCCCCTTCAACCTAGAGCGGGCCTAAGCCCTCTGAAAACCAGGCCTGCATGATATGAGGAACATATGTGATAACACTCTTCAATATTGCAATGATAATATGACTAATGATAAATAAATACTTGTGTATTTTAGCTCTATAGTTTCTGTATCTTTGTGCTTTAAAAGGTACACTGTTTACATAGAACCCAAACCATAATTAACCCATGTCCACTGGGTTAATTATTTCCACCAAATTAATTATTTCCTTACTGTTTTTATTGAACAAAACACACCAATTAACAAAAAAAAAAAAAAAAAAAAAATTGGACAAAATAACAAAAACTCCCCACTTATCAACTGACAGTTTTAACCAAGAAGGATCAGCATTGTCCTTCAAAACATTGTTTCCATGTCCTACTTATCAAACAACAAGCAGCTATTTTGACAGTCTCAGTTTGTGGAGGCCTGTCACGAAAACTGAAGCCAGTGGAACACAAAGGACCTTCAGGGTGAACAGAGGAATGATATACCTGCAGCGCTTTCACCAGTGCTCCATTTCTGCCAGCTTCTCCCACCAGAACGACCCTTGTCTGCACTTTCGGCAGCATATCTAAGAGAGAGGAAGAGTGACAGTGAATGCGAAGAAAAAAAGAAACTAGGAATGAGAAACAAAGAACTGGGAAAGAGACAGATGAAGGAGTAAGGGTGGTGATGTAAGTCAGGAAACAAAGTCAGACAATAACACTGCAGCATATTACTGATTGAGGGGAATTTCAATGTGGCCAACATACAGCATGCTCCCTTTAGGAGAACAAAAAGCTTATTTCAATTTCCACATAAAAGCTGTCCTTATTGTATTTGGAAACAGCATGCTATCTACTGCTACCAAAGTACTGAAACACCTTTGAGCTTTAAAAAGTAAATTGTTATTTTATCCAAACACCAGAGACAGCAAACTCTTTAACACTCAGTCTGTTATGAGAGCAAAGTAAAAAGAAAAAACTGCCCAGCTGCCAGTTTATTAACAGTGTTTGAACAGCACATGATCCATCACTGTATTGCTGCGATTGTAGTATCGATGGATGAAATGCAATGCTCAAATACAGAACCTGTTAACTTCTTACATCAATAATAAACCCATCTTTACCAGCAGTTTATCATACTGCTACGCAGCAGTCATCACTAAGCATTACTCAGCTTTTGGATGCAATGATTTTGAGAGTGATACTTTTCCCCCAAATACTTAATAATTAAAATTGTCCCAATAATGTAGCTATTTAGTGGTAAATGTGAGGTGGAATCGGCATGACATACTCCGTGTTTCCTGTTTTTGATGAATAGATTCCCAATAGAGCTGTACATGAGCAAGAATTGTGCCAGTTTATGAGATTATTCATTCTTTCTTTAAAACCCACATACAGTATATATACACACTTCTCCTAGTGATGAGTTCAACCGCATTAACATCAGTATTCAAATGCAAAAGAGTGACAGGAACATACAGTATTTATGCACATTTAAAAAAAATCAATAAAGTCAGCTGCATGTGACGCAATATTTAAATTGTGAGCTACTTAAATTGACAACATACAGGCCTGATGTGGGGCTGCCATATGGGTCTGCCCTCTCCTCTCCCCTGAACATTCTTCCCTTTACCTCCTCTCTCCTGAGCTCTATCTTCCATCCCTAATCCATTTTCCTTCTCAAAATTAATTATATAGATTAATATAAGATAGTTATTTCTCAGTGACAGTTATCTGTTTTTTTTTTATGACTGCCATAAATTAAGTCCTCCACAATTCACTGGTCTCCTGTGCTTAACTCAACAGACATGGGTAGGTCGTTCAACGTCTGTCTGTGAGCATCTCCTGATGAAGAACAATCTGTCTTCATCAGGCTGAACAACAACAGAAATGTAGAGGGCAAAAAATGTTTTCATATATCTTCTCTGGAAGAAATCAGCAGATTTTTATGTATGGTATGGACTCATTCTCTGATTTTATTGATTTTTTTTCCTAACTCGCTACAGAGGGTGAGGCAAAGTGGCAAAGTGAAACCAAACAGCCCAGAGTTACATCAGGAGTCTGAACAGTACAGATAGCAGCAAAAACATTTTCAACAGAAAACTAAACAGCTATTTGTGAAGGTTACACTTCACTAAATGTGCCAGAGAAAATAGACCTAAAGCAGGAGAAAAAAAACAAAAGAAGCTTGGTCTAGGAGTTAATGTGGTGGACACACATTTGATAGAATGGAGCTCCATCTGCTGAGTGGCATGAGTCTAAAAACACTCAGCATGAACATTGACATTTAGGTTCAAAAAATTAACAAAACCAATCAAAGATTTTAAATATTTCAGAGGCACAGTTAAGCCCTGGTCAACCAACTATAATTCAAAAATAAAACTTTGTAATTTTTTACAAATTCTAATTTCTTTACTTTAATAAATATATGCTGTATATATGTACACACCTTTCAACTTATTTTCCCCCCTTGAATGCAGCAGTGAACCCCATGAAAACTACCACTGGGAGACTCCCCAGCCAGACCAAAAAGATCAAAGCCTGAGGTTCACCCAACTAAAAATAATGCAGTTTCAGGCCGACTGCATGCTTTTCACTGTGCAGTGCAAACACCAACTTAGAAGCACCACATACTAAAGCCTGTATAAACCACAGCCTACAGCTTAAAGGACTAAACTGAAAACTGTTCCAACACAAACTGAACATTAAAGCTTTCATGCAGGTAGGACTGAATATAACTGTAAATGTAACTAGTTTTGTGTACCCAATAAACTGGCAAATGAGTGTAAGCTGAAGCAGAAATGTACTGCAGATATTGAGGATCAGTTTATGGTGCCAAAGACCTTTTTCAGAGTTTAGTGCTCTTTTTTTCCCACAACATTTTAGAATCTGCAGTATTGCCGTTTCTTTCTGCTGGAGTAATAGTTTTTTGGCTGGTACACATAGAGGGAATATTGATTTTCACACAATATTGAGGAATTGTCTACACTGTAATTTATGGTGATGTGTTGTTGCTGCATTTCCTAACAACAACAGCAGCAGCAGCAGTTTGTTTTGGCTGTTTGGAGATATTTACAGATATGAGGACAGAGGGAAAAACTAAAATGTGACCCCTGCAGACTGACCTTCTCCATCTTCGAATGCCATGCTCAGAAACGCATGGTCCTTAGTGGTTTCAGCAATCCTGGAGTCATAGACCGAAGAATCCACCAACAGACTCCGAGCCGTCCCTAAAGTCACTATGCTGCTGTCAGCCATGGCAGGAACCTGAGGAGGCACCAACTGTCCAAACTATCAAAAGTTACAGAGAATGCACAAAGACAGACTCAGAGGGAAAACAGTCTGGCTTGGAGGAGTGAGAAAATAAGCTATGGAATAAAGGAAGACAAAGAGAACGGTGACTTTCAAAGTAAAGGAAAGAGATAAACTATTGGCATGCTTGAGTCTTACAGTTCCTCTGGAAAAAAGCAACCTTTTGTGACGCATGATAACTTTGGTAAAAGTAGGCAAAACCAAATTTTTATGCTAAAACTTTCCGTGTTTAGTTTACATTACAACAGCGACTGGGAGGCTTAACATAATGTTAAATTACTTAAATTATGTTACTCGTCAGTGCAGTTAAATTGCCTCAGTGTTGACAAAAAACATCAATATTTATGGTTAAAACAGAGGACAAGCACAATCTAGTGGTAAAGCAAGCAACGAAAGACACCTCTTTTCCAAACTAAACAGCAATTACGTAAGTTTTCCTTGTGTCCTGCTTTGTAGATTATAAAACTCAAAATGTCTCCAATAATTTGGCCAACTGCAGAATTTACTTAAACGATACGTTCGACTTTGTTTTAAAGCTAGCTAGGTATTTTCAGTTTGACACCAAACGCCCTTTGCCTACCATCACTAACGTTAATGCATAGTGCGGTAAGTTACGAAACAAAGCTTAACTACTTTGCATATGTAACAGCAAAATAAAAATAAAGTCATAGCAGACCACACTTACCAACTGTTTGGTGGCGGGTTCCTTAATTAAACGAATAACAGAAAAAGAAGCTATCGAAACTAATCTGACTTTTGAACAGCTAAACTGAATAACGTTAAACTCACTTAACTGGCGTTAGCTAGTAAGCAAGGCCCCGTCTTCGGTCCAAAACACTCTTCAAAAAAATCTATAACATCTCTCCGTTAAATCTCATGTCTAGTGTCAGCGCACGTTCAGCTTTACACGTGAAAATAACACCAATTGTCGGAACGTAGCTGCTTTAGTGGGTTAGCAAACTACTTTCTGTTGTTTCCAAGAAATTATCCTCTTGCTGTTTGAGCTTAATTCAAAAAGCAAGGCAAACAACGGTGCCGCGCGCTGATTGGACAAGATTGACGGAGAGCCAGTGACTTCCGCCCGACGAGGCCGCTGATTGGTCTGATCATTCAAACCTTGACACGAACTTCGTGCGCTTCAGAGACCTGTGTCCATTAGGGACTGTCGGAATATTTAGTTGCTTTCTGAAATTAAAAAAAATTACCAGAAAAAATAATTGAGTGGATGATGTAATGCATCCATACAGTGCTCTTCTGTTCTTTATTTATTGTATGGATGCTGATTCACCATCCATACTATGTTATCCTGGTCTTTATTGTTGTGTGGATGCTGTAAAGCCAGGGAAACATAGTGTGGATGCTGTAAAGCATCCACACTATGTTTTCCTGGCAGTTATTATTATTG